TGCAGGAGAAAACCCTCTCTCCTCACTCAGGTGTCAAACAAAATCAATAACCATTTCCCACAGAAAGGAAGAGTAGGTGAGGACTGACCCCTCTCACCTCAAATCTCACTCTCTTCTACTGTCTCTTCAACACACAAAAATCGATGGTTCTCCTAACAGTTTCTTTAGCTTCCTACATTTCACAGACTCTTCTGAGGTCTCTTTTAAAAAATCATTATATATCTTTACAACTGATCCAAATTTAAAAATGAATATTCATGTTGTTTTTTCTTTTTTGTAACACACATAAAAAAAACTATTATCCTAAACAGACTTTGTTTTATACACTGGAAATAGTGCACAAGGCAGAGGCTGTTACAAATCCAAAGACCTCAAATCACAGACAAAGTCTATTGTTGTCGACTCTCCAATGCTTTGAGTTACATCAATACATCTGATTCTCATTGGTTCATATCATAAGCTCCTCCGTGAGCCTGGTGTTGCTCTCACTGTGTTGTTTTCTCGGCCGTTTCTCTTGGGAAAGAACTAACCTTTGCAACATCAAGATCATGCAACTCATCAGATTAAACCAGCAGCAACACCAGCATGGAAATCCAGGTTGGCTTTGTGGGAAACCAGGGCTTTCCCACAACCATTTTCCAAGAGACAAACCTGTGTTCCACAAGAAGAGAGGTGAGAGCTTTCTGTTTGTACACACAGGAGAGAGGGAGGGGCTACTGAGGACTCCAGAGGCCTGGTAGGTATGTGAGATCTCTGCTCTGCAGGAATCCCTCGGTGATATTAAGGGCTCCAAGTGTAGGGCATGACTATTAGAATGAGAGAGGAAGGAAGCAGCTCTAATGATGATTCCCTCAGAAGGAATCTGAAAAGAACCAACAGATGATAAACAGAGGGGCGAGAGTGAGGTCAGGAAAGCAACAGACACCTGGAGCAAGCCTGGACTTTTCCTAGGCCTCGGTATGATAGTGGCAAAGCTCTTACCTAGTAAATGTTCTCAGGTCCTGCATGCAGGCTATGCCGGAACAGCACCAGATCTCATTCCACTAATGAGTACAAACCATTGTTCCTCTTTTCCAGGCAGCGCATTGTGCTGGGAACTAGAAAAGCTTGTTGTCCCTTCATACACACCCTTCTGTTGATTTGATATGGAAACTAAATACAGAAAAAGTATCTGGATCCCCTGCCTTTCTCTGTAGATGACTGAACACCAAGGTTTCTCCTTGGAATAGTTCATAAGGCTTCCGCTAACATTTAGTCCTCTGATTCTGCTCACTCACTGACTAAAGAAAAAAAAAAGTACTGATTGTTAATTTCAATTTACAAATTAACATTTTCTTTTTTAAAAAGCAACATAGTGAACACAGAGAACGTAGTGAATAAGCATAAGCAGCACAGTGAATCATACTGCCGGAGAAGAGTTCTGTTGTCGTAACAATCATTTGCTCAGTTCACATCACAAATGCATAGAACCAGCCTTTGAGGAATTCCTAGTTTAAGTTTTTATTATTATTTTCTTTAAGATTCATTTCTTTTCATTTTCTGTGTTTGCGTGTTTTGCCTGCCTGTATGTGCACCATGTGTATGCTTGATGCCCATGCTCGCCACAAGAGGGCAGCAGATCCTTGGGAACGGGAGTTCCAGGTGACTGTGAAGCCCCATGTGAGTGCAGAGAACCAATCCCATCTCCTTTGTAAGAGTGGCGGGGTGCTCATAACCTCTGAGCCATCTCTTCAAACCTATAAGACTTTCCCTAAAAGCTGAGATGAACTTCTGATAATAAGTAGGTTTCATTTCTTCCAAACAAATATTTGGGAACATGGGACCACTTTGTAATGAAATCTCTGAAAATTAATGTTTGTTATTGAGCTGTACTTCTGGTTTCAGTACCTAAATCCACTTTCTTATCTATTTATGCATGCACGAGCATGCCATGCAGCAGTCTGAGGTCATTTTTAAAGGTACTGTTCACAATCCTAGGAATGCCCTAGCTGTTTCTAAGCTGTACTGACATCCAGGACCATACGACTGTGGGGACTGTCCAGTTCACCACCAAATGTTAGTAGCAATTCCTGCTGAAACCCGTGAAATGCCCATAACACCCTTTCCCAAAGTTGATAAAAGCCAAAAGTGTCTCCCCACATTGCTAGGCTGCCTTGGAGGAAGGCCCTCCGCTGAGGAACACTGCTCTAAGCCTGTCAATCATATCCATTCTTGGAGTGAGACAAAGTGATTTTGACTCACCTACTTTGACTGATATTTCTTTTATTCTCAGGGAGACATTGTACCATTTTTTTTTTTAATGCCTTTACCTTAGGGCAGCAGACCTCACTGTTTGCTGAAGCTTAGCTAGGCTTAGGGATGGATCCTCCAGGAGAATTGTCAAGTTAGACTTCAGGACTGTAGAAATGCGAGAGCAGCCGGAGGGCACACACAATCCTTTGTATTTAAAAGGCAAGATGTGGGGAGGAAGGATCTTCTCATTTCACACTAAATTTAGCATTAAATAAATAAAGCCTTCACTTCCCTTCACCTTCACACTCAAGAGATCTTGGGACTCCTTCCTGTCTAGGTCCCTGCTGAACCCTCCCTCCCTCCTCAAAACCCTCCCCCCACCAAATCAACTCAGGCAAACATACAGTTATGTTTTATTAGAACTTTTTTTTTCTGAAGAAAAAAAAAAGAAGCAAGCTACAAAAGACTCACTTATTGTACTTTCACATGGTCTGTCCAATCAGCTGGGAAAACCCCCACCAATAGAAGCCAATGATGACAGAGAAAAAAAAAAAAACCTTTTTATTCAAATTCCCCACCTTCCAGATCTCTAGAAAAAAAACAGACATATTTTCAAACAGTGACCCCAAATCTGGGCCAGCCAATGAAGTGAAACGGCACACCCTGGCTGTTAGAAGGGCCCTGTCTTCTCAGTTGTGCCGCTCCACAGGTCAGGCAAGACTGTGCAAACAATTGACAGAACCAAACCCAACCCAAACCCATGCCATTTCTCAACACTCCCAGTTCTCCCTTCTCTTCATCTGAACACCACCCACCGCCTCCCCCCACCGGAGGTGCTAAACATATGGGTCATGACACATAATCTCAGAGACCCAGCCCGGGAAGCAGCAGGCTGAGACCGCAACTGGAGCTCCCTCCCCTTCCCCCTCCCCCTCCCCCCAGATGGTCCAGGTTTCCAGCATCATCTTCAACTTCACTTCCTACTCCAGCACTGCAGCTTAAAAACGTGCCCACCGACAAGACATGGCCAGCTGGACAGCGCTTGAGAAGGCACGGCCGTGGTGACATGCATCTCTTCCCTCCCATTTCTGGCCCTGGAACCTGCAGATCCTTCTTGATTCATCTAGATGGTGGGTAAAAATCTTTGCTGGTCAAATGGGCATTTTTGCAACAGGATTTTGGACTGTTTATTGAACTAACCTAGTCTTCTCCTCCTTAAGTCATTTATTTACTTGCCTGGAACTGAGAGGAGGTTCCCCCTTCAGAAATAGGTAAGCAATGCTCATTGTTCCCACCCCCCTCACTGCCCCCTCCCAGTCCATAGGAAGCTACCTCCTTACTGTGTCCACGGATGTCATCATCACACTGTCACCTGCAAGAGATGCAGGAGAACCAGAAACCCCCAGAGGACCGCATCCTCTAAGAAGGCCCCATGGTTCCAGAGCCCCTAGGATATCAGAGAATGCCAGGATCCCTTCCCTGAGTAAGTGATGGGAACAGCCCTGCCTGGGATGCGTCCGTCCAAGCACAGAAATCAGGGCACATGAGCAGCATCAGGTTTCGAATAGAAGGTGACCAGGAAGAGGCTCTGGAAGCACATCACTGAGCCAGGAAAGAATGTAACCCGCAAAAGGAGGCAGAAGAGACAGAGACGCTGGGAAGCATGTCCTGGGCCACCTCCGGAGTCCTGGATCTCCCAGTCGGGGAGACAGACTGCAGCAATACAGACGACCCCCGGCAGGCAACATGCACCAGCAAACGCATGCATGTATACTCCCTGCCGCGTGTTGCATGCTGCAGACTTCTGCCTGACTTCCCAACCCAAAACACACATCCCCCCACCCCCCAACCCGTATGAGACTAGGGATTCCCGTGGCCTAGAACACACACCACTCCCCCTGTTTGTAATGCACAAATCCAAACCCACATTGCTTAAAAGGGACCCGGATTTCACGTAAGGGAAGCACTGGTGGCTCCCCTTAAGTGACTACCTTCCCTACTGCTTCATCTCTGTCCACACATACCAAGGAGCCGAGACGCCTCCAAATCAAGTAGGAGATGGAGGAGGAAACTCGGACTGCCAAGGAACCTATGGGAACCGCTTCTCAACACTGTCAAGGGGACTTGACTCATGGGTAACCTCCAACCCTTTCCCCAGGTTTGCACACCCATCAGCAGCCCCCTTCCTCGGCATGATCCCTGCCTCACTCCGTCCTCACCCCACCCCAAATCCTTCATCACCTTTCCAGCCCCCTCCCCCTTCCAGGCCACTTTCTGCACCCGCCAGTTCTCAACATGTTGCCTCACACACTCCCTCGGGAGGCTTGAATCAAACCTGCCTCTCTCCATCATATCTATCTAAGCTTGCTCTGGCTCCCCAAATAAACCAAGTCCACCCTCCCATCAAGCGCCCACTAGCCCTTCCACTGGTGTCCTTTGCTCTCGTACAAATCCGCTTTTCACACGTCCCACTTTTCTATCTATCTTCCCTTCTGGCATCCTAGTTCAGGACACACTGGCCTTCTACTCCTGCTCTCTGACCCTCTCTCCGTCCCGGGGACACCCACTTCTCCTTTTTGGCTGTTCCCAGGCAGGTTCCTGCGCCCCAAACCTTCCCTTTCCCATCCGGCACTGGTCGACTCCTGGCCTGCGGGTCCGCTCCCTCACCTGCGGTCCTCCCTTCTTCCCGAGTGCCCCCCCCCCACCTGACCCGTGAGCCACTCTGCCCTCCGGGTCTGCTCATCACCATCGCCTGTGCTGGAGCATCCATGTCACCAGGCGCTCTCAACCTGCCCAGCGGCTGGGAGAAGCGCCGGGCACCGGAGGCAGAAGGCTGCCCGCTCCGGCTCTCGGGGTGTCCAGGCTCTCCTCCGGCTCGCCAGCCCGGGCTCCCCCGGGCGCCCAGCCCTCACCCCGGCGCCCCAGCAGCCGCACAAACTTACTTGCGGGTCGGCGGGAGGGGGCTGCGGCGAGCGGTGCGAGCCCCGCAGCGGCGAGTGCGCCCCTCTCGGCAGGGCCGGGCGGCGCTGGCACTGCGCTCCCGCGGCCGCGCGCGCCGACTGCGCTCAGCCTGACGCAGCCGGGCTCTGCCCCCGCCGCCACCGCCGCCGCCGGGGACGCCGAGCGCTTGCAGACATGCTCAGTTTCCGGACCTGCCCGCGTGGAAGCTACCAAGAGCCCGCCGCGGCGGGGGAGGCGGCGCGCGCCGAGCTGCAGAGCGGCGGCCGCGAGCTGGAGGCGACCACGCCGGCGGCCCCGGGAAGAGGGGGGCGATGCGCTGCTAAAAATAGCTCCTGCGGAAGGAAGCCACCCGCGGCCGGCGCACCCCCTCGCCGCGCGTCCCCGCCGCCGCCGCCGCCGCCGCCGCGGGCTCTCGGGCTTCGGGAGCTGGCCTCCGACTGTGCCCGGAGAACAGACAACCTGCCGGTGTAGCTAGCCAGAGCCCAGTCCCAGCCCGGAGCGGCCGCCTATGAGGGCACCCCCACCCCGGAGCTGCCCAGCAGCCAGAGACACTGAGGAAAACTGGTCTACAATTGTGAAAAACGCTCCTCTGCTACTGACTGACCGAGAGGAGGAAAAGTTTTTAGGTTGGTTTTGTTGCAATTGGAACGAAAGATGAGGGAAGGCGGGCAAAATACAGAGACCTGGCTAAGGGTGGCATTCGGGTAGCGGGTTGAAGGGGGGCTCTGGAAAGATCTACTGAAATGCCAGAGCGCGCTCGCTTTTCCCTGACTTCTATTTCCGCAGGATTTTACATAATTGGTTGACACCCTGACCTTGGAGGCACTGTTGTTGCCTGAACTGTAATTTACTTTCCCCCTGTCTTCTACTTCCTTCGCTCCTACCCTTCCAACTTTGCGTGGCAGATTATGAGAAAGGGGTAGGAGTGGGGGGTTGGGGGGGGGCAAAGTAAAGCTCGAGACTGGAATCTGTACCTTCTGTCATCTTGAAGAAAGTCTGCCCCTTTGCCAGGATGTGCCCCGTGTATTCTAAGCATCAATCCAGCAGGCAAATCAGCCCCAGGGCCCCTCAAAACCACCTGAACTGCAAGTGAGCTGTTCCCCACTATTAATCTCCGCTGTATCCCACCTCAGTTCCTGACAATTATTGTTATCTCTTCCTTCCTTTTCAAGTGAAATGTCTTATCTCTCTGTCAAGCGGAAGCCGAAGAGGGAGGGACTATTTGTAGGGCGAAAGGGACCAGTAGGAAAGAAGATGAGTTGTTAAAGTACAGTGATGTACATGCATGCCATAATGAAACCCATTATTTTGTACACTAAAACATTAATAATTTTTTTAAAGTATAAGAATGAAATGTTCAAATACCTGGGTCAAGTTATAGTTTTATTTTTTTCTCTCACAATCACCAAATGAGATTCATTACTTAGGAATTCGTTGCTTATATTTGACAGAGGAGGACATTGAAGTCCAGAGGCATCTCTTGCCTGAAATAATACCTCGTTGAATCCAGAATCTGCTGGACAAGAAATTACCCGAATTTAAATATAACCTATTATTTCCTGAAATCAATAGCTGCACTGGGATTAATTAAGGGATCCGAAAATTTAGGAGCTGCTTTCAATGCAGATGACTATGAATTTTGAAATACTGTTTTCCCTACTTTTAAAAAGGAAATGCAGAGCCTAGATTTTGTGTTCTCTTGAAAGCGACTGTTTCTTCCCGGTCCATTCAGACAGAGTTATGAACGTTGTCTGAGACCATGCATGGACGAGGGCTGTCCTCCATCAGGAGCTCACAGTGGGGGATCAATGGAGATCAGTTCATTTGCCATTATCAGACATTGGTGAAGTCCAGCTAGCAGAAACAGCCTCAGACAGATGCGCTTTTTCCACAGTCCTCTAACACTGCATGTCTGTGAGGGTCACGGCACGCTCCTAAATCGGACCCTTCCATCCCCAGTCACAATTTAGTTTTATCTTTAACTTTCTTTCTCCTGAAGCTATCAACAAAACTTACCTATCCTATTCTGTCATGAGTGAAACAAGATGAAAGGTGGATGTGTACATGGTTGTTGTCTCTCTTCCGTTTCTCATCAACCACTCTTGATGGTGATGAGATCTTAGCCTATTCATGGCACTCCATGCACACTGACAGAAGAGGACCTGCCCCATTTTAAAGTCCTTTCCCATTGCTACATAAATATATAGTTCCGAATACACTGCACTCAAGACCATCGGTGCCAAATGACAACCACTCAATGGTCACTAACAGAGGTAAATTAGGAAAACGTATTCATTGGTTCACATAGCACAGAGGTACAGAGATGGGAGAGCTTCCCTCCTACCTGACCATGTCAGAGAAAACACAATTCCCTTGCACTAAGCTTTGCTTCCTATGCTGATGTTAATATTCCTTAGATTATGACCACATTGCATTTCCATTCATGCACACGTAACAAAGTTGGAAGTCTTAGTTTCTTTGCCAAAACAGATCAAGACTTTCACTCTCATGAGCAGACCAGTCTTACAGAATAACCCTGACTGGCTGTCCAAGCTCACCCAAATGACTCTGTCCTCCTGGAGAGAGACGATTCTCAAAAGGACAATCCCTAAAAACTGAAGGCATGGATGATGCTTACAAGATGACAATATCCTCTGCCTTCCCGAAGAGTCTCGCCTCCCTGCAGTCAAAACAAGACAGAAATTCTGCTAGAATGTCCATTGGTCTGAGTTAGCCAAAATGAGCAAAAGAATAATAATACTTTGAAGAGATTTTTTTTCTATCTTTTTTCAAGTGTGAATGCTTTGATTCGCTTGCCTAAAGGCGACAGTTAGTCCCCTCTTTGCTGCCTTTTCATCTTTATTTCAGGGCCTGGGTTGCTTCGAAAGTGGAATCACTCATTAAAGCCATCTAATGAGCCATGTGGACAGCTGAGGCCTCCAGTTCACAGTATATCGGAAAAGGATAGTCTTCCTATTATTAAAGCTTATTCTTTCTTGTGTGGTTCAGTATACTTGGTTACATTGTAGACCATGTGGTAATAAAAAAAAAAAACAGACACTTTCCCTTTGCCCTCCAATCAGATAGGGGGAGAATGCTCCTACAACTGCTGCTGTGTTTCTTCTGGAAGCATTATTAGAATTATTATTATTAATATTTTGGGGACAGTCTTAGGTCTCCTAGACTGGCCCTGAACTCAGCAGTGGAGCCTAGGATTAACAGGCACATGCCACTGTGCCAGTTTATGTGGCACTGGAGATCTTGGGCTTTGCTCATGTTAAGACTTCTATAAACCACTACATTCACATGCCTAGAACTGTTTAAATAATTAGCTGTTTTTATTCTTTTCTTAAGTTCCATAAAATAATATAAAGTCCCACAGAACTCGTATTTATACCTTTTGATTTTTTTTTTTATAAATAAATGAACCAGGTATGGTGGCATGCACCTTTAATCCCAGTACTAGAAAGGCAGAGGCTGGCAGATCTCTGTGAATTCAAGGCCAGCTTGGTCTACAAAGTGGGTTCTAGGACAGCCAGGGCTGTCACACAGAGAAACCCTGTCTCCAAACAAACAAACAGACAAACAAACAAACAGTAGTAAATTAATACAGTGCGAGGATTATTTCATTTAAGTAGCATTTTGTAGCTATACTAATGTCTTGAACTATGCACGGTGGTCACTACCTATAACTCCTGCACTAAAGAGGTTGAGGCAGAAGGGTTAAGGTTTGATATCTGCCTGGGCTACACAGTGAAATCCATCATTAAATAAAAGGAGTCACTAAATCTAGAATAGTTTCTTTCACATCATACAAGGTCTTCTGTGAGCTCCCCTCTTGGCTTCTGCTACACCGTATCTCCTCGCCGGCTCAGATGGTTGCTCCTGGTCAGCCCATGGCTTTTATCTCTTCCCTTCAGCCCTTCATTCTTCCCTTAGTCTAAGCTCTCTTTTGTTTCACTTGTCCACACACTTGCCTTTTCTTCTCTGCTGACCTGCAAGATACTGGAGGATTGACACCAGGACAAATTTCTGCATCTATTTTGATCTTTGGTGCTCGATAGATGCTTACTGAGGCATTCATGGACTGTTAGAGGAAGGTGATGCTGGGTAATCACTTCCTCATTGGTCCCAGAGAGTGGTGATGGGAAGGTCTAGAGACATGATAACACGCAATACAAACTTTGACTGTTTCTCTAGTTTGTCTGGGGATAGCCTGTGCCACACTGTCAAATAGCTCTCGTGCCTCCAGATAGTAGCAGAGCCCCCTAAGCTTGTTTGGTTTGGGCTGCACAAGGCCAGCCCATTTCAGACCCACAGACATTAGGTTTCTGTCTGCTGCATCTTTCATACTAAATCTGCCTTTAGAAAATCAGAACTAAGAGGGGAAAGTGAAATGTTCTTAATTTAGTTCTTTAAGAGAAAAGGAAATATCAGGACAGCTTCATTAAAGATCTATTAAAAGTTCATCTCCTTGATAGTTATTTCTCTATTGTGAAAAGATTGAATAGGAAGCATTAAATGAGAGTGATTCAGAGTCACTTTTGCCCCAGTTCTTCTTGCATTTATGACTATACATAAGTGTCATAACAGATCAATTCATGATATGCACTAAGATATAAATGTTCACACACCCCCTAACCCCTGCAGGTTAAGGCTAAAACTGCTGTAGGTAAAAGTCATGGGACATTAAGGATGCTCACAGTATATGACTCAAAGATGCTTCTAGCCTAAAAGACTTGACTCTGATGTTCCTTTCCTCGGGGAAGAGGAATGTGCATAATTATGTACTTCAAATATCAGGCTGCTCTTTTTGTGTGCCTAAGTCTAACACAAACATGACTTAGGTACTGAGCAAGCAGCAATGCCTTGATAGAGCTACAGCTCTTTTTTCTTTTTCCTATAACACCCAGTGCCCGAGTGACAAATCTCAAATTATCAAGCATCATCTAGAGTTTCATCATGTAATATTTTCCCATGATACTTCTGAATATAATTGATTCAAAGTTAAGGCTCCATTAATATTACATATTGCACATCCTTTGGTAGGTGCATCCTCTTGGCATGCTGGTTATGTTACTTCACACAACAACCCAATGAAACAGTATGTTAATTACCTTATTTTTGGTTGTATGTATAAAAATCTACCCTAAACTGGTTTAGATATAAGAGACTTGATTTCGCTGACGCAATACAGCATGAAATACAACCTCAGGAAGACAGGAGTTCCTGTGAGCACCAGCAGCAAAGAGATGAATCTGTCCATTTCCACTCAACATTTCTCTTTTTCAGCTTCATTTTTCAACCTTGTATATAGGCTTCCTTCGAAGCCTCCATGGTCTAGGATCTGGCCATTAATGAAATACTAAATCAGTTCTATTAGTTTTGGCTGAAAAGATCTCAAAGAAGTTGATGTCTTGCTTCCAACCAGTATAAAGTATGGCAAACAAAGTATGTGGTGACACCTTAGTGGAGACTACTTATGGTGATATTTTAATTGTACTGAAATGTGATTTTATTTGTATGTTAATAAATAAAGTTGCCTGGGGGTCAGAGCTAATAGCAAGTCATAGCAGAAACTGGGCAGTGGTGGTGCACGCCTTTAATCCTAGCTCTTGGGAGGCAGAGCTAGGCAGATCTCTGTGTGTTCAAGGATACAGCCAGCATGGAGACACATGCCTTTAATCTCAATACCAACCATAGAAGACCTGGAGGTCTGTACAGACGGGCAGTGACAAGGAGGGTCATGTGGTTGGGTTTACAACCAATGAGAAGGCAGAATAGGAAGTCAATAAAAAGCACAAACACACAGGAAGTAGGTCTCTTTCGGAGAGGTAGGACAACAGCGACAGTGAAGGGTAAGGTTTTTAGCTCTTAGCTATTGCTCTGACCTCTTGGCTTTCATCTCTGTATTGGCTCTGTGTTTCTTATTTAATAAGATGGTTATATCTACAACTACTGGCAGATAGTAATTTAATCCAATAACATGGGTTACACCACCAGTGATGTCACATGAATGCCGCTCATACCATCCTGTTAGCATGTGAGGGTAAAGGGCACCTCATTTTGGTAGAATTCTTTCCCAAATGCTACAACACCAGTTTATTCAAGGAGAAAAAAAAATCAGACAATTTCGAATTAAGAGATTTTTGACGAAGTATCTGATCAGCACTGCTCAAAGCCCATAGTCATAAAAAAAAGAAAGACTATGAAGTGGCCATTCTTTCAAGGTGACCAAAGAGGTACAAAGAACACGTCCAGTGGGTGCTTTGTTTTAGACCCTAAATTAGAAAGAGGGCATTCCTGAAACAAAATGGTAAAAATCTGCAGTTTAACAATAATAATGATACCAATAGTACAGTTAATAGC